GTCTACCTTTGCACAGAAGTCAAGAGATATTCTTGTTTTGTCCACTTACGTTTTGACTATCTACCCAACTGGTAGGGTTTCCTAACCTTCAATAGCTGTAACCTAGATTCCTTAAGCAACCGTAGTGCTTTTCCTTTAGAAGTACTCGAGTAACACGAATAAGGTGGAAATGCATACAGCAACGTGAAAACTAAAAATATCCGTGGGAATACACCTCGTGAGATTAAAGGCCGACAAAAGTCTGAGAAGCTGTTATCAACTATACCATTTGTCCATGTCCTCAACGAGGAACGAGGCTTTGTTTCTCTCTGGGCTATGTTATATCTATAAACGAGCGGCTCCTAGCGTAGGTCCGAACAATATATCTGGAAAAATTCTCTAAAGGAAGCCGGCCTGCCTGTGAACAGTGGTCAACTGTTAGCTTCGTTCTCTGTTTACTAATGTCGCAGTTTCGCCCGAGTACGAAAGGGTATTTGCAGTTTCCTGTCAATTTTCCCCGAATTTCGCCACCTACCGGAGAGAGTATGACTTCTCAAAATAATAGTACATCTATCGGAACGTGTCGAGAAAAAGCCTTCCTTATGCAGACCTTGCTCTGCTCACACAAAATGTCTTTCTTTGTGGAGGACATGCCGGGTGGTAGCCAGAAATTATGTATGTAGGCTGGCCGATTTAGTATGTTGGCTTCAACTTATCAGGCCTAAAATATAATAGCTGCCTTTGGTTCGACAAATTGTGTCCGCAAAAACAAACTGGTAACCTTGACTTAGGCCATGTAAGGCAGCGTTGGACATTAAAAGCCGAAAGTACTGCAGGGTCAGACCTCATGGACAGCAAAGTGGACGTGTAGCACACGTTGGGCAGAGGTTTTGTGTTACATCAGCCAATAAGCCCGAGCTTACACCCAGTCAGGCTGGTTTGGATTTGTTGCTGGTACACTATCGGAGAAGGAAGTCCGAGGCTAGTCGAGGATCCACTTCCTGATCACAATGACTATGAGGTGCTTCTGGACTGCCACGACGTGCGAAATTGATGGCTTGGAAGACTGCCCATTTACAGGAGGAGCCACCTACCCTCAAGATTGAGGGTTAGGCTACAACGGGTCTTTATTATGACCCTTATGACGACTGTTAATGAAGAGGAGTTTGAATTACTGAAGACGGATTCCATTCGATCCTAAGAGCCAGCACGCGTGGATAGGGGCTTTATACTTTGATAGTCATGCCATTCACTTGATCCATCGTGACCCTGTTTCGCCACTGGAGCAGATTACCGCTGCTCCCCCCTCTAAGTCATGCATGGTTATCCTCGCCGCATGCAGCGGACGACCCATTGCATAGCAATGCGTGAGCTCGCAGTCATTCGCCTAACTGTTATCTTCTACATCTGTTTCGCTGATCGTTTTCGATAATGCCACAATAATGGTCCAACAAGTGCCCTCGCGGTTTTCGCAACAGGCGCCTGCATCGACGTTATGAAGGCGATGAAAAATAGCCGAAAACCGAAGTTGAAACACTTAGGCATCCCCAAGACCTCGGAGCTGGTGCTGAAGGCAGTAGGCGTTGACCTTGAACATCGGCCTGGGGCATCAATTTGTCGCCTGCTCATGCAAAATAAGGATGATCTGTCACGTGTAGACATGCTAACAAGTGTCTACCCGATTGCTGGCAGCGGGCACCTCGCCAATCTTTACGGCATGTTTCACAAAGTGCCGCGTCTGTATTTCATCGAGTGAGTCTTTGAACTACCAAAACAGCATAGACAAGAAGTTGTAAAGCAGAAAGTCAGAATCACTTTCACTTGAAATTAGGGGAGTCAGCATCATTCTCAACCTTTAATGTTCTGCTAAGAAAGGAAGCTGACGAAGCAACCAGACTAAGCGTCCAACGAAAGACCTTGAGGGGACATCATATAAGGGAGAAAGTCGATTATAGAAATTGTCTGCACATTTTTGTGAAGTTTTTAAGGGGTGAGGAAGTCCAGTGTGAGAAGTATTTTAGAAACACGACGTACAGTAATGGGTCTTATAGGGTCTATCAGCTGAAAGCACAGTCACATCATTTTGTGACGATGTAATCGCGTGGCAGCCTGAAGATTGCTGCGCAAGGTATGGACTTGTTATGAAAAATCAAAGCCTCAAATGTCCACCCCTTTGTCTTTTTGCCCACCGGCACCATCATCTCTTTGCACGAGATGCCGATTTCGTGGTCTAATTCCATACTGCTAAAGCCACGTGAGACAACCGATCGTCCCCCTCGACTTCACTTTGTTTTCATGCATACGCGGAAACCGTTCCCTTGAACTTTGACGCATTTAAATGCAGAGTAATTGGCCACCGAATCTGACAAGCGACAAACACCATGTTGCAAACATCATTTGATTCGTCTTTGATTCACGTGGCTCGTGTATGCGCAATTAGTTGTGGATGGCGGGTGCCACAGCAACCCTAGTCTAAGACAGCGTTTTCTCTCGCCTCGCATTCACTTCTGTTGCATCTTGGAGCGGTGTCTGGCGAATTGGGCTAACTCGCGGTACACTTCACGCAATTAAGTCCTTTGCCAGTAAACATTCATCCCTCAACCGTCGGCTAAACTACACATCACGTTTTCCTCACCTACATCACACAACATCAGCACCCACCACGAACATTCAATTGTCACAGTTCACGCAAGGGTAAAGTGTTTAAGTTGCCGGCTCAAACATCTATAGCCACAGGAACAAGAGCTGGTTAATGTCGGGCGCCCTCATAGGAGCTCAAGGACCAATTGCGGTGCATTCACAACCACCGGACGTTTGTTTTCATGGTGAGGACTCTGGATAAAGTAGAAAAATTTTAAACCTTTTTTGCCGCAAAGTGTGTGCTATGAATGCCTTAAGCTTCTGGAGTCTTTTCGAATAGATTGCGGAGCTGTTCAGTCTTACTGTGTTCTTATACTTCGCTGTGGTTCTGTTCGAGGAGTTTTTGCTAGCTTGATGCGTCAAGGTTTAGACTAAGAGTAAAAAGGCGAACTGCTAGGGCTCGCAAAGAAGACCGCTCTTAATAACTGCTCTATGCGTACGTATAAACAGGGGACCATCGGTGGGTACTCTATCATTTGCCTGTGAAGGCGTTTCAATAAACCCTGCCCAGCTATGATGCGGTGGCTCATCCCCTCGAAACCGCATTTTCCCTAATCAAGCCTGCCTGTCACCGCAAGAAGTCGGCTACTGCATGCCTATACAGAGCGGGATGCCCTCCTGGAAGCCGCACTTGGTGATTCGCTCGCGCAGTACTTCTCTCCGATCTTGCTTTTAGCATTGTTGTCCCCGCCCCTAAAGCGAAAAGTTACCCACTAAATTCTGCCTATCTGGCCTTTGCTTTGGAAATTTGCTAACCACTGTTTTTATCACCCAACGGTAAATTAGGCTCTTTGATCTCAATCCCTTATTACCTGGTTGTGTGGAGGTAACAAATGCTTATAAATTAGGTTCTCTGTTGCTAAGGCAATTTCTCGAATGTGAGAACGACGTTGCGCCATATTTTGCAAAAATAAATCTTGAGACTGACGGACTAGGCCCACCCTAACCGGAATAATACATTTTAATCGATAGGACTGTTTACATATACGCTCGCCTGCACGTTAGGATCCGTCTATGGGTTCACGATAAGAGAAACATATACGTAACAAAGAGAACGTTTGCGATCTCACTACATGTCAGTCGAGGAGATGAAAGCAATTAGCTAAAGTGAAATGCTCAATAATTTCATAGTGCTGCCTACTAAAGTGCAAAATGAAACCATGACTGTAATAATGGTAAACGGCGGCGAGCATGCGCAGCTTATTTTACTGACCTTACCTCCGGCATCTGTTATCACGCGAAGTTTATGACCTGTGCTCAATTTCACACACACGACAGTTCTACCGTCGTTTCCGACCATGTCCATCGTGTGCCCCAACAGCGAGGATAAGCAAGCGCGAAGACTTGTAGGTGCTTTAGTCTATAGTGAAAATAGACTTGGACAGCGTTCACCTCATTCTCTCCTCCCACACCTGGACCTAGTTTCAAGACAGAGTCAAGAAGACCGGAGGCGCGGGAGGACGCAGGTGAATGGCACGGCCGAAGCCGCTCCTAGGTGTGCAGTCACACCTGGCCGAATCCCATGGAGTGGGAGTCCCATAAAGGCCATATCAAGAAGACGCCATTGCAATCCGACTCTTAAACCACCAGTCGGCCGCTCCACACAAACGCGCAACACCAGGCCGACTGCGAGGTCCAAGTTATCCCGTCAGTTGGCAGCTTTCCAAGCCACGGCTATTAGTGAACCGTGATAGCTTTAAGCGCATCAGACTGTTTATAATGAGGAAAGTACGCTGAGTCGTCGACCTTACTCTCCCTTCCCATTCCCAGGCCCCAGCCCCCGTCCGAGTCGGCCAGTCGTCTGGTGCGGGGAATGATCGAGGTGGCAGACAGATCTGGTGACTTTGTCTGCGAGTGCCACATGTACGACTTGGCCCCTCAGACACAAGCGCCAGGATTTCGCACAACGGGGGTTTGGGCGGCATACATCTCACATTCGTGAGAGTGCCGTAGGTCACGTTAGGGACGAGCCGTTTCAGCCTGGCTCTCAGCCCACCAGTCCACCACTCCACACAAACACACACAACTGGGCAGACTGCATGGACTGAGTTGGGGCGTCAGTCAACAGCCTTCCAAGCCGCGGTGATTGACGTACCGTGATAGTCTCAGACTCGAACCACACATGCAGTAGGAGCCGCATGGAGATGGAGCCGAAACGCACACTTCCCACTTGCGTGAAGGGTAACAATTAAATGTTTATGGTGGGTGATGATGATGTTGTGTTATGTGGGTGAAGCCCATTTGATGGCGTGGTTTAGCCGGCGGTTGTCTACCGCAGGTTTTCGTGAATGCGCATCTAGCCTAATAGACCCATGCGTTGAATGAATGTGCGGATGCAGTGAGGGAAGTTGAGGCGGATGCAACGAGTGTATGTTGGTGCTTTAGGCACTGGTTCGCCAGTGTCTATGCGATGGATTTACAATTGACCGATCAGGCCGATGTGTGAGGTGAATGTACGGGGACAGTGTGGGCAGAAAGATTCGGCAGTGTCCGTGTTGGATTCGAAGATGGCGGCAGTGATGGGGCTGTCGATGATGAACACGATAGGCGACGGGATGTAGGTTGAGGTCAGGATTGTATGCAGTGGTGGTGGTTACATGAGCCACCGTGGCGGATGTTGAGGCAATGGAGAAGAAGAAGAAGAAGAAGAAGAAGAAGAAGGCGGAGGAGAAGGAGGAGGAGGGGGGTTGTAGTGGGGGTCCGGGAGTGCTGTCAATGTTGATTGTCGACGTAGAGGACGAGGCAGGGCTGGATGAGGAGACAGCGGCTGATGTATTCTGGGTGCTGCAGTTAGCACGAGGGTGTCCTGTAAGGCTTATAGGTGCCCGGAACGTCCGCTGGCAACGTGAGCAGATCGGGGTTGGTTGAGCGTTGGCGTTAGGAGGTGGGCGCATTTGTGATTTGCGAGTCTCGAGTTTGGCTGCAGCAGCGGTGCCAGGGTTGGTCTCGTAGATCGATGCGCCTGTCATCACTGACCTCCTCCAGGTTTTTCGGTCTCTAGCAAGATCTTCACATTTCGCCGGGTTGGTCTGCAGACGCTTCAGGGTGTCCTTGTATCGACAGACTTGGCCTCCTTGTTGGCGAGATCCCCTGGCGACATCTCTGTGAAAGAGTCGTTTGGGTAGCCGCTCGTAGTCCATCCGCACGAAGTGGCCGCTCCAATACAGTTACAGCTGTCTCAGCATAGCGTAAATGCTGAGGATTCCCGTCCGCTCCAATACATCCGTGTCTGGGATCCGGTCGAGCCATCTGAGCCTCAGTATTTGATGAAGACAACTGAGATGGAAGTGATTGAGTCTCCGCTCCATACAGCAGCGTCGGCGGGATGATTTCCTTGTTCGTCTTCAGTTTGGTGTTGAGTTGGAGACCTTGGCGATTCCAGACCGTGCTTTTCAGACCGCAGAAGGCTTGGCTGACGTACAATCTGAATGAGTCGTTTGAGACTACCGAAATTCTGCATGATTTTTCACAGTCCTTTGCAATTCACCGTGCCGAAGGCCTTCGTCAGATTAACGAAGGTAGAGTAGAGGCGGGTCCGCATCTCCTGACACTTCGTCTGCAGTTGATGGGTGGCAAAGATCATATCGGTGGTCCCACGATGACGGCGAAAGCCGCGCTGGCTTTCTGGCAGGAGACCCTTTTCCAGATGGTTGTTCAGGCGGTTAAGAAGAATACGAGCGAAGATCTTTCCGATGATGGTCAGCAGTGAAATGTCCCGATGGTTGTCGCAGTGTTGAAGGTTAACTTTCTGCTTGTAGAGATGTACGATTGTGGCGTCCTTTAAATCCTGGAAACTCCTCCTTGACGCCACGCCTTCTGGAAGAGCGCGTCAGATGATCCATGAGTTGGGGACCACCGTGCTTGTAGATCTGGGCAGGAATCACGTCCGATCGGGGCGCTTTTCGACTGGAGAGCTGCCGCACAGTCATGATGGCTCCGCGGAGAGAGGGTGGTGTTGATCTCCACGTGGGGCAGACGGGCGATGGAAGCGTCGGAGATTGTGGAGGGGCGGTTGAGGACACTTCTAAAGTGCTCGGCCCGTCGCTGGAGAATTTGTCTTCTCGGCGAGGAGGGTACTTCCGTCGGCGCCGAGAAGAGGAACAGCTGCTTCGGTTGGCGAACCGTAGACAGCCTGGTCACGGAGAAGAAATTCTTTCATTCGTAGCGATCTGCGTGACCTTGGATCTCCTCAGCCATGCGAGCCGCCCAGGCGTCCTGCATCTCGCGTAGCCTCTGTTGAACGAGGCGACAACTACGGCAGAAAGCAGCTTCGTTGTCGTCGGTGGGGCGACCGACGTAGGCTTTGTGCAGACGGTTAATCTCAGCGAGCAGGTTGCTGATGGCGGTGCCGTAAACATCGAACCAGTCCTAATGGTATTGCCCTGCGTGGCGACAACAGCCAGCCCAATCGATATCTCAGTAAGTTCGAATTTAACCGAAATCTCCGATTACCCAGGGATAGAATCATGTGTCCTACGGCCAAGTCGTTTAACTAATCGACTTGCCAAAAGCTGACGACAAAAGTTCATCAGATGGCACATAACGACCATCATAACGAATAACACGCGTATGTGGACATGCGTGCACAACTGCACAGCCGCTTCGGCCCATTTTCAACACTTTCCTTGATGGCAACCATCTGCTCAACTTGCCGCCCTAAATTCTGGGACATGGTTAGATTGTGTGTAGTAGTCATCTTTAGGTAAAGGCATAACCACCGAACTACGCCTTCAAGTGTAAAGGCTGGAAAGATGTCCAGTGTGTACTGACTACACCGCCATCTGTTGTTTAATTTAGGTTTTTGTGTCAAGCCAATCAACGTGTAGGCAAGCTTTTTCGCAAGCATATCTAAAGATTTTGACCTATGTTTTGCTTACTCCAGCAAGCACCCATATGTTTACCAGTCTGGCTGGGTAGACTACATAAGTTGTTCCAACAAATTCCTCGAATCCGCTAGCGGAACGTGCAAGCAAGTCAAACGTACCCCCGTCAACCGCTACGTTGTCGATCTACTTGCACAAGCTATCTCCAAAGGTCCGAGAAGGCCACCTTTCGTTCCTACAAACCAAAAAGATGAGTCCACTGTCATGCTGAAAGTTTCAGGCTGAAACGGTAACAAGCGGGAGATGGCACCCCAAAAAATTCGCCTAACCAAAGCAGCCTGTCTTACGGGACAGGTGATAATAGGGGTTTTATTAATGGTGGCTGATCGGGATGTACGATACAAGCCGACGGAAAGCATTATTTGAACAGGTGACTGATCGATGTTGGTCCACTCTCTGTTCCGCTAATACAAAATAGGTCGCCAAAGGCAGTATAGTGGTAACGGACGAGTAGAAGGCGTATAATCGTCTTCCCTCATAAGTGTATCTGCATTTCTCTGTTAACCACTCAACGAAATTCAAGGACCCTACCACCGAACGGCACACCAATGCCATTGAGGCATACTGGGGTAGACTGAAAAGGAAAATCCACGAGGGAGGCCCAGTATGTGGTCGAGTTGTGTGGGCCCAAAGAGACGAAGTAGAGTATCGCCTTTGGTTTGGCCTCAATGCCATGTCTTTGACAGATGCCTGAGAACTGTTCCTGTCCCATGTTGTGCAGACTTACCCTTTTTAAAAGTAATTTTGTCTTGTAATAAACTGCCATAATGCGAATGTATGTCGTATATTCAGGTGTACGTGTGTAACGATGGGGAAGGTTGGGTAACAGTGACCATTGTCCATGTAACCTCCTGTGATGTTCGTTCGGCCAGTCCATGTGAGGCCGTCGGGGAAAGTCCAAGTAGTGCGTGAAAGTCGGCCTGCAACCGCTAATATAGCCTGCAGGCGTTTGAATCCACTGTTAAGGGTATTATTTTTAGGTAACGGATTTTTTGAGTGCCATCTCCCGATTGTTACCGCTGAAACGAGTACCCTGCAAATTTACGAATGACGTTGGACAGTGGTGACTTCCTTTCCATAGCGTTCTCGTTAAAGCGCCTATTAATGACGAATTTACGACGAAATTGTACTCGAGAGCAAATAGCGCAATTCAAATCCTCACTTAATGACGCATTCAAACCTATCCAAGCTATATGACTTTGGAGAAGAGATCGCAAAGAATTCGTTTTACTCTTGACTAATTCATTTGTTGCGACAACCTGAAATCGTTGGCATCCGCTTACGATATAGAAGAATAACATTAAGAAACAAAGACAAGGGAGACTGGAATGGCCATTTCTGGCTCATGGACGTCGTCAGTCAGTCATACCCCGCCCTGAAATGTGCAACACCTGGTGAGCGCCCTTCAAACATCCGCTTACGATCATCTTAAGGTGTGACTAGATTGCCACCGAGTCTATATGCCTTAGTTAAAATGTGTTGCCTTGGCAGCGAAACTTTATTGAATTTCCATCCAGAGTTTAGGCAAGTTTCTCCACTGTCTCAGGAACTGTCTCTTTGCCACTCAAATATGTCGACCTCTCTTGAGTCGCCTGTCATACCTAATAAAAGCCGTTTGAAAAATGATGGTGCTTGCCTGGTGTGGTGAGCACAGCACCGCAAATGCCCACAGGATTCCCGCCGGAAGCGCCACCCCACGTTCACTCGACTCACGCGCTGGCTCAACAGCGCGAGCCAGCTAAACGCATCCCCATGCCGTCCGCAAACGAAGCTGATCGATTTATTGATACACTAATGCCAACAGCTGCTTTTCTGAGCCTGAACTTAGCACAGCCCGGCATTGCGCCAGATGACTGACTTACGCGCTCTGTCTCGCTCAAAAAGTGATGCGTGCGAGCCAGATGCATTATAATTCACGCGATTGGTTCCAATCAGTTGTTTGTGCTAACTGTAAATAGTGCGACTTTATCCCTATTTTACTGGCATTCCTCTATTTCTATCCACCCTCTTGAAATGGATGTCAGGGGCGATGTCGATGGGTAACCAACCAAATTTTCATATAACCGATTGCCTTAAGAAGAAAACATTGTACCCTGACTGTCGGTCCTGAAAGGGCCAAGTTATCACGTCATTTAGCCGCCTTCCATATCACGGCTTTTTGCGCATCGTGGTGGTCTAACAGTGCGTCAGATTGTTTCTAGTGAGTAATATGTGATGAGAGCCGTGGGGACGCATTCCTTCATAATTAACCCAATTCCCTTTTCTCTCTCCCAGGCACCAGTCCACTGTTCGAGTAGATCAGTTATCTGATGCTGAGATCGTGAGAGGTGGTTGGCATGACTGAGAACAGCTCGTTTGCGCGTACTACATGCATGACTTGGGCCCCAGTACGCACCCACCAGGGATGCACACACGAAGGCTGAGACCAGTCAGTTCTCTCATGCAGCAGAGGAGCCACATGAAGAAAGGAACCGAGGATCACACTTTCCAATTTCGTGAAAGGTGCCGGTGGTTTAGGGTTTAGGAGGTGTCCGTGTGTGGTGCATGTATTGGTGGGTAAACGTGCGGTGACGTGATCCTTTTCGCGATGATTAACCACAGGTTTTTATGAATGTACGTGAAACCAAATATATCAGTGTTACGGCTGAATGTTTGAGGGAGGTTCTGGAAATTGAGGCGATGACGTTTGGTGTATGTTGGTGTTCCAAGCACTGGTTCGCCAGTCTCTGTGCGATGGATTCGCCAGCGACCGACCCGGCCGATGCGTGATGTGCGTGTGTTGAGGCAGTGTGGGCAGGATAGGTTGAAGCTGCAGAATTGATCGCAGTGATGATGCTGTAAACGATGGTCGCGCAGGTGGATGGAGAGTTGGCCGTGCTGGAGATGGATTATTTGTCCGGCGTGGCAGGTGTGTTTAGCGTTTCAATGTTGCACTGAATTTCGCGTGATGTGAATGTGTGATCGAAAAGGGACATGTTGGGATCGAGTCTGCATTCCGATAGAGGTGGCGGTAGTGGTGAGCGTTAGGGTGCTGCTTGATGGGGCGTCGACAGTGTCCTAACCGGTGGTGAGAGTGGGGGAAATGGTGGTCGTCGCTGCGGAGAATGTGGCAGCCATGATGGAGTGAGGGACGGGGGGGAAGCGGGGGAATGCGCGCCGATGGTGATGGTGGTCGCAATCGTCGCCGTCGTGGGGATTGTGGCAGCGGTGACGGCGGAGGAATTTGCGGAGACAGGAGATGCATTTGTAGTGCGGTTATTGCTTCGAGTCCCTAGGTGTCTGACGGGACCGATCCATGTATGTAGTTTTCGTTGACAGCGAGGATGCTTTGTGAGTAGCATGGTGTTAGGTCAAGAGATCACGGCGCATGCGACTTGTGAGTCGCCCCTTATCTTTGGTAGTAGCGATCCGGTTGGCTTCGTATATTGTTGTTTCAGTGTTCACTGCACTTCTCCAGGTCGGTCGGTCCTGGGAGAAGTACTCTCAGGTCTCCGAACTCATTTGTAGACGCTTAAAAGAGCTTTTTAAAGCGGCCTTGTAACATCGCTGTTGTCGCTCCTTTCGGCGAGCACCCGCAGCGACGACTCCATAGGAGAGTCGCACGGGCAATCGCTTGTCGTCCATCATCATGACGTTCCATTACAGTTAAATTTGCCTCAGCCCGGCGCGGATGCTGAGGATCTCAGTTCACTGCAAGATTTCCGTGCCCAGGATCTTGCCCTGCCATCTCACCTTTAGTCATTATGGTCGCCCTAGCAGCCGCGCCATGAGCAAATCTGACCCTTTTTGGTTACACGTTGTCGAAAATTCCGTCACCAGACAGTGCAAGCAGCATTTGAATATTGTGTTTCGTTTTTGGGCCCTTGAAGCAAGCTTCCTCTCTGAACCGGGTGCATTTTTTGCTTGGAGGATGTGCCCAGAGCAACGAAAACCCGCTGACCTCGTGAAGATTGTTGACATCAATAGTTCATTGAACGACGGTCAGCTGGCTTCGTACATTAGCACTGCAGTATCCATGTATGCACTGACATTTATTCCTCTGAATGGCAGTACTTATTAAACAATAACCCATCGTGCACACAGCCTCCTTGGCGAAGTCTCAGCCGCGAATATGGAAGATAATGAAACCGAAAGACTCGCTGCCACGGCAAGAAACGTCTGGAATCGTTTATCGGACCTGGTGCAGCTGCGGACAAAACAACTACGTCGGAGAAACCGGAAGACAGCCCCGAACGCGAATGACCGAACACGCCGCAGCGGTGCGGAGAAATGACGCCAGCTCTCTAGTTGCAGTCCATTCGACGAGATCCGGTCACACATTGCAATTCACGTAGCCGAAATTCTCACTAGAGGTGGCAACCGCTTCAGCCGTGAGCTGCTTGAGTCATGGTTCACTGGCCTCCAGCCCATCAACGAGTGCAACGACCTTCCCCCTCCATTCTGCGTGCTGAGACTTCGCCTAGGCGGAGTAATTAGCCACGCGGGGAGCGCGCACTTGAACACTTCACCCAACGCCAGGGTCAGTGGATCAGATGGTCGAGCCATCATCACACCAACATCCAGCGCACGTGATGACATTACAGCAATTAACGGCGCGAATGTCCGCCATGAAGCAGTCATCATACCAAGTGCAACGAACGCTGATGAAAGGAAGGAGCCGTAAATATTCATAGGTATGCGGTAGCATGGCGAGTGCGTCCTTTAAATACTGCAGCCCTTTGTGCATGAACCATCCCTATTTGATTTTGTCTCTGATGGTGGGTTCGAGCAAGAATCCGAAACGTCCGGCGAATAAGGCTCTCATCCCAGCGATCGTGTCTCCTTCTTCACGACAGCCTCCTGGGACTGGTCCCTTTGCTTCTATTGACTTCCACGTGATGTTGAGTATTTCTGATCACAACCGACAGAACGTGGGCCCATGTGCCTGAGTGATTAACTGAACAACAGATCGGGGCTGCAGTTTCAGGTCTTCCCCGACTGGGTTTGATGACTGATGACGGCCAATAAGCCACAAAAGGCCAGTACATTCCTCCCTGTCTTTTGTCGGTAATACTGTTCGACGGCAAGTTCAAGTGACCGATCGCATGAAATGTTGACTGAAATTGGCAAATGCGTATTCGATTAGGAAGGGCTGTAATACAGATTAGCTTGCGGCATTATGTCGTATTATTTCAGGCACACTAGGATGTCGGCTTTTAAATGCAGTCGACGAAAAATTACTACTTGTGTAGTAGCCATTTTTATTGACTTTCGATGACCTTATAAATTCAAAGACGGTTTATTAAAGTAATGTGTAAGAATATTCCTTCTTTTACCCATTTGGTAACAAATCACATCTTCAAATTTTATACTCGAAGAACGGACATATTTCGGTTTTAAAAGGGAAGTTTTTAATTATGAGATTCTTAAGGTTGTGTGATATCCATTCAAATAGAATTTCATCTGTCTGTTTAGTAATGCTCCTCATGGAGTGTACAACATAGGCCACATATCCTGGAGGATTTCATGAAGCCTATTTGACATCTACTTAAATGAAGAGAAAGAAATGTTTTTGATCGCACGGAAAATATACGGCTAGTAGACTGAAAGCTCCAAACACAGATACAACGCAGATTGAGATCAAAATTATTCTGAAATTGAAAAACCTTCTTAAAACTGCAAGATACGGTTTCTTCGAATATAAGATTTGAAAAAGACTTGATTTGTTACCAAATGGTTACAAGAAGGAATATTCGTACACATGATTTCTACAAACTGTGTTTGCATTGATATGGGTATCGAAAGTCAATAAAAATGCCTACTACATAAGTAGTCACTTTTTGTCTACTGCAGTCATTTCAGGCGGCTGAAACGAAGTGCATTTAGAAGTCAACATCCTACTGTGTCTGAAATAATACGGCATTATGCCGCAAGCTAATTAGTATTACAGCCCCTTATCGAATACGCTTTTGCCAATTTCGATCAACATTCCATAAGATCGGTCACGGACTGGATGCAGCTGCCTCTACGGAGGAGATAATCTTATTTGTGCTTAAAAGTATGTGTCTTGTCGTGTGAGCACAGCAAGGTGTTTAAAAATTGACGATATAAGTTCGCCTTATTGGCTTTCCATGGTGTTTGAGGCCAATATTGCCTATAATTTCAATACTAATAACGCCTTATTTCCAAGCCGGCTTCCTTCAAGTTTGCCGAGACAAAATATCACCCGTTTAAGGAGAAAAACTCTTCTTAAACAAATTATAACGTGTCCTGAGGGCCATAAAGGTTTTGACAAGATGAACTATGCATGGGGACGTTTTCCATCGACGATGGAGACGCGGCGTAGTGGGCTGATGAGTTCACTAGCCAGGGCTGCCACTCATCGTCGCCACGCTTGAGAAAACGGGCGAAGTTCAAGTGGCTGCTGTTGTGTCTGCTGGAACGGCGTGCTGACGGGTGAAGTGTGTTTTTGCAAATGAGCTTGACCCTATCTTCTGGGTCACTAGGATGGAGTTTTTGTTGAGCGACTGTGAACTGGAATTTGGATAGACGTTCGACATATAGGCTAGTCAATGCGGTCTCCTGCCGACACGTAATATTTAACACCACTTTGTCCTTTACAACTACGCAAAATTTTGTAGATGATGATTTTATTCAAATCATAGAAATTAATCTCTTGGTGCTAACGCAGCTATAAATGCCTTCAGTCATTGGAGGTACAAAGAGATCGATGTGGCCAGTCTCACCTATCAATCATTTATTTATGCCGATGATTTCAAATGTGTATATTCTTTCAATAAATCTACGAGCCTTCATTGCCTGCAGCAAATCCATGCTGACTTGTTGCTCTCTCAGCTTGGAGCTCAAAATGCCTAATGGAATTCTGTCCGTCTAAATGTCGCTACACGTGTTTTGGACCTGATAGGTTACCCCATCCAGTGGTCTTTCAAGGCACACCTATGACTGAATGTACCATCATCAAGGATTTAGGTTTAAGCTACACTGGCTGACAGAATTACAGCCAAAGCTGCCCAGATTTGTGGCTTTATTTCTTACAATTTCCATTTTCTCGAAATTAAATCAAGACTGTATCATATGATTCTACTTCCCATTCTCGAGTATTGTTGCCCAATCTTTGGTTTGATGAACGAGGCTAGTTCTTAAAAAATTGAAAATTTTCAAAGACGTTTTTCTAAAAAACTTTTAGATATTAAACGTCAAACTATCTCCTACTCAGATAGATGTCAGCTAACTAACCCAAATTTTGTATGGTTTCGAAGACTAGAAGCAGGCTTCTGTTTCCTCTTTCGCATTTATAATAGTTCACATCTTCATCGGATTTCAGGCCTTACCCCTAGTAGTCGCCCATATAATCTTCGCAACTCTTCCTTGATTATACCTTCTTCGGCTTCCTCCACCTCTGAACGCCCTCTTTTTTTCGCTTCCAGATATAATTTCCTCTGGAATAACCTTCTAATAGCTATAGGATCATCAGATAATCTGCACACCTTAAAGAGAAGGCTACGCCATTATCTGAATACTGGCTCGATTAAACTTTTATTTTCCTCATCCTTCCCGGACAACTTTCGCTATGACATTGAGAAAGAGCCACGGGGAATTTAGGACGCCGCCATTTACTTTCCGTATCTGCTCACATTTCCTTCCTTTGTGAGTTGTATCGTTTCCTACGATCCCTAACCAGAAATGTTAATTTTTTTCGACTTTTCAGTTCCTGCATCGTGCCCTCACAGAATTCGATTCATCGACGCTCTTCCCGAAGCCTTCTGTATTCGCAATATACTCGTAGTCTGGTCGAATTTCCCTTGCCCCCTCCTCGGCTGGACTCGAAGCTGGCTGTAACCGATCGCATCTGGGTTCCTATCGCCTCGAGACTGGCCTTCTACTCGCCACTTTGACATGAATGGTCTCATCCGGCATATGAATTCTGCCTTGATGATGCCTGTTTCGAACCTTTTACTCAGTACCACATACAGGCCAGTCCTGCCTGACTCGCCTACTTACCCCTTCATGAAATCCGCTATACGCTGCCACATACAGACCAGTCCTGCTTGCTTTTTATAAATTCAGGAGAGACAGTTTTTTCTCCTATAGTGTTAATCTACTCATACTCGTTTTGTTTATATGTTAGGAGTTTTTTTAACTGCTCCCTCACCAGTTTTCGTAACATACTACTTATCCAATAAATATTAAGTAACTATTGTATAGATTCTGCTTACCTGTTCTAAAATTCTAAAATTCATGTAAAAGTTACTCTTACTTGCTATGAACGGACCCCCACGGGTCCTGAATGGAATTTATCATCATTATCATCTCGCATCTTCCAAAGTTGCTTACCTTTGGTAAGCAGCGAACGAACCAGACATTAGCCATACGGGGAAAGAAAAATGACCTAAGGGAGAAAAAGTTATCCGCACATGCTAGGAGCCTAAAACTGCAGTAAGACCATCTTCAGGCCTGAAAAACGTATTCTGCAGAAGATATCGTAGGGTCACATCCGGTTTTGCCTTTAGGAGCGCGAGGCTAGCTCCCAGAAAACGGTCGGAAAGAAAGGGACACGATCGTTGGAGCGAACTTTTTGTAGGAGAACAATATCCTTATCTCATTCGATCTCTGATAATGGATGCCGGTATGAATCCGGAACGTAAGAAGAACAAAACCCACTTTTTTAATTTTTTTGACCTATTTCGCGGGCTGTCACGCTTAAAGGTCGACCGAGAAGAGCGTCGAGGGGGTTTTGCCAAAATACCGAAGGGAATCATGCGGTGATTACCACAGGCACGAAGGGGGACGCGGCGATTGGACTTCTGAGCAGACGCCTTGACTAAGCTCTTTAACGAACCCTCCCAGCCCCAAGAGTTCGGATATCATTCTCGATCAACCGCCTTTTACACGGAAAAAGTAAGGATAGGCTGCTAGGTTAGACCACCTCAATGTTCACTTGCTTTTATGGAGCAGGTTATGCAGCTCACACGAGTCGCAACCTATTCGAAAGGACACGAAAACATCTCCCGTCATGACAGAGAAAAAGCAAAATAAGAAGCATAACAGCGGCACTCACACGCCGATTTGTTTATTGGGGGCATTATGTGGACACCAACGAATCCTTTCGTGCGATTTTTAAGTCCTTCCCGGACTGTCCTAAGTCACTGAAGCAGTGTCTGCTAGCAAAGGCAGAAGCGGCTGCAATCAGGTTGTGCAAGTGGGCCCTGTGGATACAGGAAAATTTCGTGCAAGTTCCTGATTTACCGTGATCAAAGGTGGGCTTCCTGCATGCGACTCCCCGTGCCCTTCTTCCCTTCTACTCTGGCGGTTTTTCCTAGCCCTCTCCCCATTCACTCTCATCCTTATCACCTGACTAGACTGATACACACTGTCTCTCATTATTCCCCCATATTCCCCAACTCCCATTTGTGTGGAAAGATGAGCATTAACTGGTCTCTCAATAACCACACGTATGTTTTTAATTAACTTACCCTGTTATATGCACTGACCCGATGAGAATTTATCGAAAACAAGTACATACCAACATTTAATGTGGCTTATAAACTAACAATTCGGGCTTTGTATTATGCGAACATTGTTGGCGGGTAGTTAACACGACGGAATAATTTTTAGATTTCAGAGCAATACTGATCGACTCGAGTATAACAGGCTTATCAGTGACAGATAAAATTTAATCGCGTTGCTACTCATAGATAAAAAGTATATCATTGTGGAATTCAGACGGGTAGGTGGTGGGAAAAGGAAGACACGATAACTGGAAGAACAGTTTTATTGACCCGACGTTTCGGATTCACACTCGAATTCATCATTAGAGGCAGAATTAGATAAGGGTGTTGTGTTCCTAAAGGCAACTCCATCTCATTGGCCTACCTCCACTCTCGACCCCGCCGACAATAGCCCTCTTCCTCAATAATCTTCCACCTGCCCTTCTACCCCCTTCTGACATTGTTGTGGGCAAAAACGATATCCTAACAATAATATTTTAACTTAAAAGACTGACAATTGATATTTCAGAGTGTATATATGCCTTGACTGACTCTAAACCTTATGGCGCACCGACTAACATTTGAGAGACTTGAGTTCAGGAAAAGATTTTGCAGTCCCTCCGCGCTAACATGCAAGTTTTCCACTGAATTAGAATAATGCGTAACGGACGTTTTTGCGCAATCTATTCTGCTCAAAAGGGTCGTTAATCTCCATCATGGGAATTTTAGTATTTCGATAAAGACTAGTGCATGTAGGAATACTCGTCTTGCGAAACCCAGCATAACTTCAGTATTTCTTTAGAAAATGGGTATTCAAACACCAAAACACACTACGACGTAGAAAAAATGAAAATGCCCCATCTATACTCTTCGTGCCTGATACCAGCGCGTGAACTCTGTTTGCGTTCCTGGCCGACTTGACATTTCGAACATCGCATCCGACGACGTCAACCCTGTACTCCGACTTAACCTGCACTGGCCAGGCACCCACGCATCATGAACGAGTCCATAAGTGAGAAAACGGGAACTCCGAGGACTGTCTCCTCTGAGTCAGAGTGCAAAAGGGACGATGGTGGGAGTTGGTCGGAGCTTGGCCGGCTGCCAGCTAAGAGGCCAGTGGCTCTGGTGAGGTTCTTGCAGCCAGGTCCCTAGTCTGTAACTTTATTTCCAACTAGAGTCCAGTCGAAACAGCCATGAGAGCCAGCGACGACTCTCCCCAGGACGATCGGGGACCCACGGTGAGCGCGTGCAACTTCTGATGAGTGTGAACAGGAGACAAAGACAGTGTTGATATCAAATGGCGGCGGACTGGATGGCAGCGCTCTAAACTTCATATGATTGCGCCATTACAGACCCGTAATCGTGTAATTAGCGTGTTGAATCCGATTTCTCACCAAAGCGTTCGTTTCTGAATTAGTATCTTTCGTACTTGTGCCCCCAAACCGGCCATGTGGTAGATGCGCTGGACCAGCACGGGAGCCATACCGGATTCTGACAGACGTTATCGGATTGCGCACCATAAAAAATGCCAGCATTGCCGGGTGCGGTGGCAGACACGCCTGACGGTAGACGTCGTGTACACTGGGACCCCTGCCGCCCCCCATTGTTTTTGTTGGTCAAAAACCTGGTCAGTTGCTGTGTGGACCAGGGGTGTGGAGTGGAACGCCAAGGTGTGGGCTCGACCGTGCCATCCACCTGCGCTCTCTCCCGCCTCCGGCCTTCTTGACTATGTCTTGACAGCGGGTCCAGGTGGGTGATGGGGAGAGAGTGCGGCAGGTGCTGTGCAAGTCTACACTCACAAGTCACCGTCCCTGCCCTCATCTTGCTGTGGAGCACATGATAGACATCGTCGGCAACGACGGTCGAATCTTCCGTGCTTCTTTTTGCAAGCATATAAGCCCAGGTTAACAGACTTGAAATTGACCTCCTCATGTTCGTTTGCGATCTTCTTTGCCTGCTATCGCTCTTCAGTGGTGATCAGCAGAATGGGGCTCCGGATAACAACGGTGTCCATCACAGGGACTAAAAAGGAAAAAGGCCTTCATTTGCAGAAGTCGATATCTATCACCCTCACCTGGGTACGTAACACAGATACCTGATTAACAGTAACGAAAGAAACTCATTCCGGTTCGCATACCGGTGCGCTGATTCTGTCCGCCTGTCTACTCTATTCTATTCCATAAAGCTCATCGCTGGGAGTTTTTCATCCCTAACAGTTATTCGCATAGGGGTTCGTAGCCAATTCCACCCTAAATCATAAATTTGCGTTTGAAATTCAAAACGTCAGCCCTTTTTTTAAAAAAAATTGTAGATCCTCAAGCAAATTGTGCAAGGTTACATGGGTATAAATGTTTCACGAAAACACAATAGATTTAAAAACAGAGTCACGAAACCTACGTGCCTGTGTTAAAGTCATGTCTATTTGACCAGTAAAATAGTTTCAGGCGGCTTTTTGTTTTTTTGTTGTGGTTTGATTAGCTTTGCCTACTGTTTTTGCATCTATTCTACCCGACTTCCCGAGACCCTTTTTCTCAACGAACCATCATTTTCTAAGCACGAGGAGAAGCGCTTTAATTTATGGCGCCATTGCAGTCAGCATGTTTTTCCGCCCTCGCCTTGTTCAAGCAAAATAATATTCACGGCAATGCGAGATGTACTTCAAAAACAACGGGACCAAATGGTTAAGGCGTAAGACAACTGTAGAACAACTGATCAGCACAGCTTATTCTATTAGCAAGTACTATACTATTTCTGGATCTTTTGAAAATGGGAGAAATACTCGCTCCGCGGCATAGATAACTGGTGTTATAATAGTCTTTGATCCCTGTTTTTTTCTGAATACTGGTTTCCTTGGCCTTTAATTTCAAGACCTAGTATAGTCAAAGATGACTGACCAGTCAGCACGCTGTACTATGAAAGAAGTAACTGCGTATGGACATTTCAAAACGGTCAACTCAGTCCTGTTTGGACGCCAACATTTCTTGCTTACAAAGACGTGTCCTGTTCGTCATGATAAAAACAAAACTCACGAAGGTTGCGGGTATTCAGTTAAGCAGAGGATTATGACTTTTCCCGCTACTGCCTGTCCTAATCGTACTCTACTGGTGCACATTTATTCACCAAATGTGCCCTGAATGCAGTGAGTCTTAATATACTTGGAGAGCCGGTATTTGAGTTCACAAAGTGCTAAATTCGTTTTTCTGGCTTCGGGGCAGAAGGCGAGAGAAAGGCCCTTACATCAGCATTGATACATATGGTTTTTTCAAAGAGTGGTCGCTATTTTGGCCTCACACCACACCCAATGCGTAGTTTCTTGATGTAAGTCACACAGGAACAGGCCCACGCCTAGCCCGGTAGTTTCCAATAGCAGACAGGTTGTCACCTACTTGGGCTAAGTGCAACCGACAGACGACTACTAACCAGTCTTAAAACAGAACGATCAATCAGCGACAAAAGTGGGCAGACAAGGGCAAGTGGACAGGAGTGGTTGCTGTCGCAGATTTATTTATGCACTGTTTGTCCAGCCGTACGCTTTTCAAGTGGCTACCATCCCAGTCTCTACATTCTGACAGGGCGTCACCTTCTAGTCATTTTACTGCCAAATATAGAAGTTTCCATGACCCATAACGTATTCATTTAAGCATAACTACCCGGCTGACACTGACAAAGACTGAACAATGGGAGGCACGGTGGAGTTCCGATCTTATGTAACTGCCGCCGTACTGACTAAACCTCATCCGAGGACCATCTGCGATTTTCGTTTCTGGCCACAGTGGTTAGCGAATTGTGAATAACTTAACAAGTTAAGAATTAGCGCGAAAGAGCACCAGCCAAATTCTTCCCTGATTTCATTTTTGTAGCTCCGTGGTTGGATCTGCTTTATCTGGTAGTTTTATTCTACTTAGTTTTATATTGCGAGTTCCCATCACATGGATCCAGTGCGCACATGTTTTTTCTTTAAACATGATATACTTAATGTACGTAGAAATCAATCTAGCAGAACATATAAAAGATCCACCGAGGTAGAACATCTTGTTCGCGAGCAAGTTAGTGAGGCCTTTGGCCACTGATTTACTCCCATAGTATGCAATGATAATCCAACGTATTTGATGACAAAGAGTGTGCGCCTGAAATAAACTCGGAAGAGATTTGGGCAGATTGATATAAAACTGTTTCGGGCTTTTTGTGCCTTCATTCTGCCGAGCATCACCACCACCACCACCACCACCACCACCACCACCACCACCACCATCACCGCCGCCGCCGCCGCCGCCGCCGCCGCCGCCGCCGCCGCCGACACCACCACCACCACCACCACCAGCATCATCAGCATCACCAACGACAACGACGACGACAACAACAAAAATAACGTCATCATCACAATCGGTGCCATCCAGGGCCAGAGACAAAAACATGCGCACGCACACAGTGCAAATGGTTGACAGACTGGTCTGTCAGACAGGTCACAGCATCGTCTGCTAGGATGGAATTTCCCGCCGCTGCAGAGCAAGCATCCATTACTAGAGGAAGGAGTGCATACCTATCCATTGACTATTTGGAGCTTGTATGCCTTAGGAAGCCAGTGGGCCGAGGTGAGTCCATTCCTGTGTGAATTAATACTCATGCGTTTAAAGATTTGAGGATCGGATATTACATCGCGTCCAGCATTCCTAAGAAGAAGAGGAAGCGAGTTCATGTGCGGAAATATGTTTGTACTAAAGCCTCAGTAACTTCCTCGTTTCCATCGTCAGAGTAATGCGAGAGCCGCCCTTGATGATGTCCATGTATCCAGCCCTGCGCCTGCCTTGTGTTTTAGCCGCGCTCGATGCGCGAACTTCGACCTGTTCATTTATTCCTGCCTTTTTTTGACCTCTCCGCGGTCGACCGTTGGCGAGATCGTGTGAACTTTGTTTCTTTTGCGGTCGTCGTAGCTGCGGCCAAGTCACCGCGCCCGTCGGCCTGTTGCTGGCCCCTTTCACTGCCACCAGGGCCGCCGCTCGCCCATGTCGCCTTCGCTCGGCCTAACATGCCACCCAAGCACTGAGTACGTGCGTGTGACTCAACCGTCGTCCCACGGACGCCGATCGATTTTTCAGTCTTCATCGACTGGTCGCAGCCGCACAGGCTTCGCTCCCGAGCGAAAAGCGTGAACGGCTGACAAGGCTGGCGACGCCTTTTGCTCTCGTTACCTGCCCTCTTACTGCAGTAAAGCTTGTGCGATAAAACTCTCTTCCCTGACTTGTGATCCGGGAACCAGCGAATTGTCGATCATCATAATTCAGCAGGCCTCCTCTCGTTATTCTCCGAGCTAGCCAGTCATTGCTGCCTTCAGTCTCGTAGGGACGTCGGCGAGGGTTTTTGTGCTGGTCACACGACCTCCGGCTGGCCCGCCTTCCCGCTTCTCCATGAGCACCAACTGTCGGCCTCGTGTAGCTTTACTCACCTGTCTTCTGGCCCTGCCCGAACTGCAAATGGCGTGAGGACTTACTTCTTAAGGAATTTATGAGAACACGTCCATCCGAACAGCCGTCCTGTGAGAACGTCATGGTTCTCAACCTTTCAACCCATCGTCTCACACAGTAACAGCTAGCACTTCCTATCTATGGTGCCAAATTGAGCACAAGATATGCTCGAACATATAACTTCACTGAAACCTTCGAATCGGCACTCCATAAGTGTGAGACAGAGTGAAAGTGCAAAGACGGCATGTGACAAGTGTCAGCTTCGCTCCAGATGCGGATGACGATTTCCAAAGCAGAAGATCAAGAACTTCGGAGAAAACAGAAAACAAAGAATATCGTCATCCTGCCCGCCAATGATGCCGCAATGATGCGTTTCTACGACTTGCCAAAGGCACTAGGCAGGAGTCCCCCTACTCTCCATCGTCTTATGAGCAATCCCGACTTCTGGGCTGTGAAAACGGTTCATTCAGCAATTCGATTTCTCAGCAATAATTCAGAGCGAGCAGTGAAGTCGGCTGAAGGGGGTTTGATGCGTGTCAAACATCCAGAATTGGGCGTTCCTGGTCATGGTGTCGTTCGACGTGATCTTTTTTATCCCCTATTCCACCCGTCCTGGCTTTCGGCACTATTGACGACCATCTCTGAGAAAATTATGGTGCAGATGACCAACGGCTGAAGCAAGTACACCACATCGAGTTCCTGGTACCGTGCCTTAACGCATTCATCAAATTCAACGGTCAGTTGTGCAAGGAACATAATGGGAAACCAGTGGGCCCGCCTTCGTCTGGACTACTTCCTAAAGCGGTTCCGCGTAGGCTCAAGTGACTAGTCTTCGGCCCGTCCCACTAGGGTGGCTGGCACTTCGACCGCCACGAGCGATGACCTCCACCGTGTGCTCCACGGAATGAGCCCAACACTAGTGCCTTGTGCAGCATTTGCCGCACTCTTTCCTGCTTCACCCACCTAGGCCCGGCAGCAAGGCAGAATTAAGACGATCGGTGGTGGACCGAACCACAATGGCTGACAGCGCTAAACGACCCGTCTGCATGACTGATGTGCTACAGACGACCTGGTAATTGAGTTGAGCGAGGTTTGTGGTGCTCTACCGCAAGTTTTTATGAAGATGCATATGACCGAATAGGTTTATGCAATAACCAAATGTCCTTGGGTAGTGTGGGCAGATAAAGTGGTTGCGGCGGATGTGCATTGGGTCTCCCGACACAAATACGGAGATAGCAGTGCGGTGGATCCGAAAGTGCCCGATTCGGCCGGTGCTTGATGTAAATGTGCGGTGGCAGTAAGGACAGGGTGGGAATGTGGCTAGCGAACCGACGGTTTGACAATGCTATTAGTGGGAAACGACAGTGGCGGTGGTGATGCAGTTGAAAGTGCCGATGGTGGAGAAGTTTTCAGGTGCAGGAAATAAGTCTGTCGTGATGAGTTACGGCGAATTCTGCTGTCATGGTTACGCACATGATCATGCGGTGTCTGAATGTCCTGGGGCATTATCAACAAATGAGTCCTGTGTGACGAGAGTACGTGAGGTCTACAGGTACAAGTTCGCCGGTCTCTGTTCGATGGATTCGCAAATGACCGACCAAGCACTTGTGAGATGAGGAAATGCTTTATAATAGTGACAATTTGGAACTGATTCAACATTGTTATTTGTAGAGACAATGACAGTAATGTTTGGAAAGTTAGTAGGGGGGTCCTCATTCGCGGCGGTAATGATGCTGTATTGTGAGATGAGGGAAGAATTGGCCGTGCTGACGTAGTCCTGAGTGCGCAGATGTCCGGTCAGACCGATTCGCGCCCGGCACGTCCATTGACAGTGTGGACACAGTGGCAGGTGTTGGGAATGCCGACGTCATTAGTCCGTAGCACGTGAGTCTGGCGACCCCCTCTCTTCGCTCTGGCAGCAGCTAGTCAGTCGGTCTCGAAGATGGCTGCTCCAGTCTCTATGACAGTGCGTCGTGCCTGTTGGCCTTAATTGTGGTGCCACTAGGTGTCCGGGTTAGTCTGCTGGTGTTCGAGTGAGATCTCTAAGGTGTCCTTGTAGCGCGCTTTTGTCAGCCCTCAATGTGGCCACGTGTAGCTACGCCGTTATGCTAAAGCGCTCGTCGTCAATACTAGCGACGTGCCCCCCCCCCCCATCGCAGTTGTATCTGCTTTAGCCTGACACGAATACTAAGGACGCCGGTCCTTTCCAGGATCCCAGCGTCTGGGACCTCTTCCTGTCACTTTAACCTCCACACTCTTCGGGCACGGCTGGGATCAAAACAGTTGAGTCTTCTTGTTTAACCTTCGTAAACAATCAACGTCTCCGCCCCATACAAGAACGCTGTCAAGACAACGGCCCTGTACATCCTCAGTTGTTAGTTCAGTAGCATATTGCAACGTTCCCAGACCGAGTGCTTTCGTCGTCGGTCTTGATGTTTCTTGAAATCGTACTCCCAAGGTACGCAAATATGTCCACTGGTATGAGGTGAGTTCCGCCGACATTGATATGGAGATCAGCGTATTCAGTATTTGGCGTCGGTTATTGCAGAAGCACTGTCTTCTTACTGCTGACGGTCAGTCCAATGTTGGAACAGCCCGGGGACGTAGAGGTCAACACAGCTGCATATCCTCACCCATTGTGGTTTCTGACGCACAGTCACTCGCGAAAAGTAGGTCATAAGCACTACCCTTGAACTCCCCCAAAGATGATTTCAGGCGACGGATGTTGAAAAGTCTTCCGTTGATTCGGTAGTTAATGTTGATCCTCGGTCGCTCCCCACGATAGGCGTCCATCATCAGGACGAAGAACATGAGATTGAATAAGGTGGGGATGGGTGCGCAGACCTGTATCCTCCCACTGACCACCTCAAATGTTTCAGGGATTGCTCCTCAGTCCGCGGCACGAGCCGTTGCGAAGTTGTCTTGCCATTTGAGTAAATCGCTCAGTGTACCTAATTTCAGCACGATTCTCCACAGCGCATCGCGGCTCACTGTGCTGACGGTCGTCGCCGTATCGTCGAAGGTCTGGAAGTTGGCCCTCATTTCTTGGCACTTTTACTGCAGTCGACGAGCAGCGAAGATCACGTCTGCGGTTTTGTAGTACTTTCGGAATCCGCAATTCGTGTCCGGAAGGAGTTCCTTCTCCAAATGGCCCTTCGGGCGATTGAGTAGAGCATGAGTTTATATTCTTCCCGCAAAGTCGAGAATGGAGATGCCTCTGTGGTTCTCACATAGTTTCAGGTCCCTCTTGAATTCTTATATGTGCAAGATGATAGCACGTTTGAGGTCTCGTGGATGTGCACTTGTCGGCGAATCCCTGGAACGGCAGGGCGAGATTTTTCATGGGTTGTGAGCCTCTGTACTTATGGACTTGCGTCTACTGCCAGTGCTTTTTCACTGGACGACTTGCACAATTCTGTTTGTTTCAGGGACGGAGGGCAAACGATCGAGATCGTCGTTGCCGTCCACTCCGGAACGTTGGTTGATGGCTTTTTCGCATGCTTTTGTCGGACGATTGAGGATGTTCTGGAAGTGCGCGGCTCAGCGCTCCAAAATCTGTTACTCCTTCGTTAGAGGGGTTGCTTTATCCTGACTCAGCAGTGGCACAGTCCTTGTGGCCTGTAAACTGTTTTGATGGCAGTGAAGAAATTCTTCCCCTCATTGCAGTCGGCATATCAATTAAATTCCCCAGCATCTAGTGGACCGGCCGTCAGCATCAGAAATATGCAGCCTTATGGTTACTGCCGCTAATGATTGTGTAGATTGAGTGTATCCTGTTTCTCGGAGAGGACAGCACGGATTTCTTCGTCATTATCATTAAACCAATCCTGGTGCTGACGGCGTGTACGGCCGAGTACTTACATAGCGGTTATCTGAATAGTATTTCGCTTTTGACATTGGCAGGAGCCTCCGGGACTAACGTGCCTTCCAGCTGCTAAAACTCAATCGGCGTC